TACCAAATTTAAGGAAAAAATTTTTAAAAAATATTTTTTTGAAAATTGTCAAAAATACAAAATTTTGTATTTTTGTTATTTTTTGACGAAATGAGCTGTCCAACGAACTCAGGCTTCATTTTTATGGACTAAAAAAGTTCCCCAAATTGCAAATCGATTCATAAAAATTTATTCGAGTTATCGTGGAGACAAATTTTTCTACAGACAGACGACAGACAGACAGACAGACAGACAGACAGACAGACGGACAGACACTTTTCTAAAAACCATTTTTTTGGAATCAGGGGGTCATGAAACGTAAAGATTTACCAAAATTAGACAATGCTCAAAATCGAACAAATCCAAGACTTTCTCATTTTTGATGAGAATGTAAAAAGCAAATTTTACGAAAAAATTAAAAAAAAGCAAAATGTTGGCATATTTTGAGTTCTTTTTCGTTCCTAATTTTGTATATTTACCTAAATTTGTCATCTAAAAAAAAATTAAAGTTTTGACATGTTTTTAATGTTTTTTTAATATTTTGGCTAATGCTTCACTCACTATAAACCTCAATTTTTTGCACTTTCTTGGAAAAAAAATTCATAACTTTTTTGTTTTTTGTTGTACAAAAAGTAACTTAAGGAAAAGTTGCTTGATTTTGTTCAAAATTTAACGAAAAAAATAGAAAAATATATTTTTTTGAAAATTGTCAAAAATACAAAATTTTGAAAATTTTGAAAATATCAAAAAAATTCATAACTAGGGTAAAAGTGGGTATTATCGCGGGTGTGGGTATTATCGCGGTATTTTATATTTTAATGAATATTTCAAATAATATAACAAATTTTTGACACTAAACAATCACTCCTTGAACCTGACAACTAAGACATTATAATATGCATCATATTTTTGATTATTTTTCTATTAATCAATTTATTAAAAATGTTTTAAAATTTGTTGTCTAAAAAAAGTTCAAAATGGCTCACCTTGGTTTGAGATTCAACTCTACAGTGGTGACAAAAATTATTGTTTTTATGTTCTATAAAACTCTAAGAGATGATTCTTTTTTTATATTTTGGTAAATTTATTGTTATTCTTCATAAAAAAAATTTGTTTAGTTAAAAAAAATTGATTTTTATCAAATATTTACAGTCACGATAATATAGACATCTTTTTAGGGTTCCGTACACCTACGGTGTAACGGCGGAACCCTATTGGTGAGACTCTGTTGTCCGTAGCCAAATCGTGTCCCCCCCCCTAGCGGCTAAACTATTTGACCTAAAGAGCTCAAATTTGGTCCAGATATGTATTTTCACTCGTAGATTACAGGAAAAATATAGCGAATGTGATTGGACGTGATGGTCATAGCGTTGTCAAGGAAATAACAAGATTTTTGGCCAAAAATGCATAAAAAGTGACCATTCCCCCCCCCTTAACTTCTAAACTATTCGACATGGAGAGCTGAAATTTTGCATGCTGGTGTATTTTTACTCGAATATTACAGGAAAAATATAGAGAACTTGATATGTAATGATGGCCATAGCGTTGTCAAGGAAAAACTAAAAAAATTTTAAAAAAATATTTTTTTTCTTTAACTTTTACATTATTTGACCTAATGAGCTGAAAATTGGTATCCTAGTGTATTATTACAGTCTGACGACAAAAAAATTATTTAAGAAACTTTTTGAAAAAAAAATCAAAAAAATTTTTTAAAATTTTTTTTTCAAAAAAAAAAAATTTTTTTTAATTTTTTTTAGTTTAAACACGTGGCATTAAATATTTTAAGGAAGAGAGTGAAATTTTAAGAGAATAAATGAGAGATTGTTTTCTGACTTTAATTTCTTAACTAAAAAAAAAAAAAATTGGACAAGTGCGAGTTGTACTCGCACTGCAGCGAGTTGTACTCGCACTGCAATGGCGGGTTCCGTACACAAATATTAAAACAATACTTGCAACATTTATCGGTAATTGATAGAATTAAAATAAACAATTAAAAAAATATATTAAAATCATTTGATAAAAAAAATAACTAAAAAAAATTAAAGTATTGTATATCTAATATTGTAAACAATAATAAGCAGAGGAACAAAATTTTCAAAATTATAGTTCCTCTGCTTATTATTGTTTACAATATTAGATAAATACAATACTTTAATTTTTTTTAGTTATTTCTTCTTATCAAATGATTTTAATATATTTTTCTAATTGTTTATTTTAATTCTACTAATTACCGATAAATGTTGCAAGTATTGTTTTAATATTTGTGTACGGAACCCGCCATTGCAGTGCGAGTACAACTCGCACTTGTCCAATTTTTTTTGAACATGTGGGTATTTTCGCGGCTCCTATCATAACCCTTGAAAGTAAGGTTAGCAGTGTGTCTCTATAAAGTTTAAAACGTTGAAATTATAGCCGATATTATTTTTGCTTGTTTTAATTTATATTTTAATAAAAGTACTTTGTATATAATATAAAAAACTTTAATTTTCAACTAAATAAATGTTGAATTAACATTGTTTTTCCACTTTGCACAGTAACTGTTAAACACATTTAGACACAATAAAAATTTCGTTTATTTGAACGTTCAGAATTTTAGTAAATCTTATAACAGTTACAAAATACAAGCAAGAAAATAAAGAGTAATGGAAAAGATAAAAAAATTAAAGTAAGTGAGATCTGTATATTTAAGGAAAAAATTTTTAATAGCTATAAAAAAGGAGCAAAAGTGTCAAATGAGAATTGACTATACGTTAGAAATATTTGATAATAATTGCTTTAGAATATTTTATCAGAGTATTATTTTATATTATGAGACTAATTAAATTATTATAATAAAACCAAGTATCTTTCTTCTTGTGATACTAGTTTACTATTGAATTCGTCCATTTATCATAATGCTTAACATTTTTTTTAATTCAAGTTCTTGCGATATTTATATTTTTAAAAACTATATTATTATTCCTTTTAATTTTTTACATTTACTACATTATAATTAAGTAACTATTACAAAAATCCAAAAAGCAATAAATAAATTATCCGCGATATTTACCAAGCGATAATACACTCATCCACGATATTTGACACGCGAAAATACCCTCAAGCCATTACAAGTCCCGCGAAATTACAAGCAAAGGAGTCTTCTATTTAATCATTTATTTAACGATTAAAACTATTTTCTATAACATTGGCTATTTTTTTTTAAAGAAAAGAAAGCTTAAATATTCATTTTAAAAAAAAAACAAAGTTACATATATTTAGGTTCGGTTTTGACCGTTCCCAAGTACAGTTCTCAAGCACTAATTTAAGTGAGGATTCACCTCACAATGTCTATAGTTCTCTAATTTTGACTTATTTGTAATTTTAAAGTGTCTAACTTCAAGTATTCGGAGGAAATGATTCTAAACAGACTTTTTTTTAACTTAAACTCATATTTGCAATAGTATAAACATTTAATTCACATTTTTACCTCCCAACACGTGTTCATCAACCGCCATAGATTTATATAGTTTACCGAATCGCGTTTGACGCCATTTTTTTTCACATTAACCAATTTCATGGAAACTTTTAATTCTTAACTCTTATTCTTCTAAGTGTTTGTTCTGACAGTTGGCAAAGCCTAAAGTCATTTAAGAAGAAGAAGAAGAAGAAGACATATATTTATTTATAATTTTTAAACCACTTGGATGTATGACGTATACAAAATTCCTCGATAATACCCACATTTACCCTATTTTGTTTTTTGTTGTACTGAAAAGTGTCTAAAAGAAAAGTTGTTTGTTTTTGTACCAAATTTAAGGAAAAAATTTTTAAAAAATATTTTTTTGAAAATTGTTAAAAATACAAAATTTTGAAAATTTCAAAATTTTGTATTTTTGTTATTTTTTGACGAAATGAGCTGTCCAACGAACTCAGGCTTCATTTTTATGGACTAAAAAAGTTCTCCAAATTGCAAATCGATTCATAAAAATTTATTCGAGTTATCGTGGAGACAAATTTTTCTACAGACAGACGACAGACAGACAGACACTTTTCTAAAAACCATTTTTTTGGAATCAGGGGGTCATGAAACGTAAAGATTTACCAAAATTAGACAATGCTCAAAATCGCACAAATCCAAGACTTTCTCATTTTTGATGAGAATGTAAAAATTAAAAAAAATGTTAAAACTGATGCCAATTTGTGAATTTTTCATAAAAATAAATAATCGTGGGTACTTCCCTAGCAATAGTAATGTAGATTAACGACAAATTTTGTTTTTTTCTCTTGCGGTGCTGTTCAGAGAATGTTATGTTGTACGCAGATTCGCTTCTCGAAAAAAAACTCATTTTCTGTTTATCATCAGTTAAAGCCCTATTTTGTATCAAAAGTTAATAAAAAAAAATTTCTGTACCTCAAAACTTGTATAATAAAGCCTCAAAATTTTATTTTGATCCATAGAATAGTTTCCAAGAAAAAAATTCCCAAGAAAACGTTCATTTCTTAGTGCGCCTGGGTAGTATAACCCCTTAACCCTTAACATTCGATTTTACGTTGACTTTCATTTTCACACTGTCTTTGATTTTGATTTTGAAAGACAAAGTGAAAATGGAATTCAAAGTCAGAGGGAAAATGAAAGTCATTGTCGGAGTGAAAATGGAAGTGAAAGTTAAACTCAAATTACAAAATCCCACCCCTGATTCTACAAAATCTATAAAGTTAAAAGAAAAATTAAAAATGTGTTGATTTAATTTAAAAATTTAAGTCCAATTTGTTTCAGTTTTGGGTGTCTTTAATTGTGTTTTATAATAATCAGTGGGAGTGAAAAATATTAGAAAGTTAAAATTGTAAGTTTATTTATCTGTTTTAGTTTGTATGTGTGACATGATTGTGATTTAGAGCAGCATTGCGAATAATGTGTGAATTAAATGAATCCCCCACTTGCTTTATAATTCTCTTTCTCTCTCTCTCTCTCTCTCTCTCTCTCTCTCTCTCTCTCTCTCTCTCTCTCTCTCTCTCTCTCTATCGTGACTCTTTGGTTTTTATCCGTTTAGTCGAACAGCTACTGCAATTACGTGCTCATCTCGTAGGTTTCTGGACCACTTGGGAAGTATGTACTTGTGATAGACGGATGCTGACTCCTGGATTTATTTGTCGTAAAATCCTATCTGAATCTCGTGTTTTCTTCCTTCTCATCTCTTGTATCGCTCTTCTTGTGTCACCCTTTTTTCTTCGACATAGCGAAAAACGTGTCACTTCAAAGCTTTATCGACTTATAGTTAAGAAAAAACCCCATAAATGATATTGAAATAATGCAATAGTGATTTGAAAATAATGTTTCCTTTTGTTTCGTAAATATTTCGAAATAAGTGAAGAAGAAGAAAAAAGGGGAAGAAAAGAAAAAAATTGTATTTCTTTTTATTTTTATAAAAAAAGTGGTGTAATTTATATGGTGACGGTGATGATAAATGTGTTTCGTTTGTTTTGTCCACTTCTTCCTTACAAGGTGATTTTCCGACTTAATTCTGACCTCGATTACAAGTCTGAGAGTTCTGTAATTGACGACGAGAGATGAACTTCGGAATGAGGAAGACAATCAGTAGAAAAATTGTCAAGTTCCTGCTGCTATTTCTTCTTTATTCGGCTGGTAAATTGTCTTGATATTATAATTATTCGAAAATTTAAATAAATTTCTAAATTTTAATTCTATTCTAAATTAAATATATACAGGTAATATTAAATATTTTAAAGGGAAGGGATTTTTGTCTTTAACGAAAGTTATTATCCCAAATTAAAAAATAAAAGATTTATTTTTAAAAATTATTCGCACTGATAGAAAACTTTAAAAACACTCGAACTATATTTTTTGAAATTATGGTATTTCTGATTATTTTAAAATGGATCAATAAAATTTAAAAACAAAATTTGTCAGCATTGGGACAAGGTCTTTTACTGGAGGAAGAAAAGGAGCCAACATATCTTACCGCAGGTGTCGGAGAATATGTCGTCTTTAACTGCGATCTCGACTTTCCACACGAGATACCGATTCCATATATTCTACACTGGAAACGAGATGTAAGTTTAAAAAAATTTTTTAATTAACTGAAAAAACAAAATTCTACAAGGAGAGAAAATATATTATATTGAATTTTGTAAAAGTATTTTATAATTTAAGGAAAACTTAGACAAAGCGAAATTTTATTGATATAAGAAATACTGAATAAAACTTATGTGTAATTTGTTGATTAATGTATTTTTCGAACACTTTCGAGCAAATAGAAAGAAAAATTAGTAACAAATCGCCCACGCGCATTTCGAGCCTGCGTGGGACATTTAACAATTGGCGTTCTATAAATCACACTAAATTAAAAGCGTTATAATAGTGATTGGGAATTAAAGTCAATCACTATTATAACGTATTTATTGATTAAATACCTCACTTGTTCCTTCAATCTGAATAATATCTTTTTTCTCAATTTATTAAAATTTACATTATACTAACTCCATTTCAATATTATTATTATTTATTCAAAAAAGGCAGAAAATTCCCTTCAATATATTATTATTTATATTCAAATGCGTAATATACAGAAAACGCTAGATGGATTACTTTACCCTATAGTGTTACATTTATAATAAAAAAATGAGAATGTAAAAATTTTCTTTTACATTATATGAGAAATAAATCAATAACTAATTTCAAGTTCCAGTTTCTCATATTTCTCATATTCTCCTTATGTGGTTTTCTAGATGTTGATACTCTTGATTAAAATGTAGGCAAAAGAAATTTTTTTTACTGCCTGTTTCAAATTACGTGAAATTAGTAAACAACCGTTTTCGAACGAGTTTTCCTCTGCATACAGGTACTTTTTACAAAATCTGACAACGTATAATCGACACAAATGTTTTTAATTGTCTGAATTCAAAAGATTTTGTTAATCTATGCAGAAACGCGGTTGCAGGATTGGAAATACAAAAGTAGTAGAGGGCAGAAGCATGCAGCGAGCGTAAAGGCTCAGCTGTCAAAATGATTCGCATTACATTGCTATGGTAATTCCAATTCTGCAAAAGTGTTTCGGTATGGATTAACAAAATCTTTGGAATTCAGGTAATTAAAAACATTTGTGACTATTGTACGTTGTCATATTTTGTAAATAGTGCCTGTGAACAGAGAAAAATTTATTAAAATATGAATTTTTACCAATTTCACGTCATTTAAACAGTCAGTGCCGTATTTGTTGGGTGATAACTGTAAAACGCACATTATCGAGTTTAAGAACCCCCACAGCACCGAAACTTTCCTAAAAATTTATTAAATATTTACTTGCAATATTCAGAATATTTAACTGAAAAGTTTAGTGAAAATTGTGTAAAGATTTTAAATGTCCCGATTAAATAAATGTTTAGCGCCAAGCTTTCTTTAACATTTCCTGAACATGAAATTAAGTCTTCGCATAATTATAATTATTATTATAATTATGCGAAGATAATTCGCATAATTATAATTATTATTATAATTATGCGAAGATTTTATTGAAATGTTCAGGAAAGCTTCGCGCTAAATATTTATTAAAATCTGGACATTTAAATCTTTACACAATTTCCACTAAACTTTTCAGTTAAATATGAAGAATATTGCAAGTAAATATTTAATAAATTTTTAGGAAAGTTTCGAGGCTGTGGAGAAACCATCGAACATCGTTAAACTTACAAATTATATTAGTAAAGTTATATGTAATATAACTAAGGTTACACTACTTGCGTTATTTGCGTTACATCCCGTGTAGAAATTTCGCTATGGCCCGGATCAGGGACTGATCGGGCCTTCCCTATTAGGGAATGAAACACACGGCCCGATATGGCCCTGATCAGGAAATCCATATTTGATCGTCGCCCCGATCTGGCCCAGGTCGGGCCGTGTGTTTCATTCCCTAATATGGCCATAGTAGGGATATTTCTACACGGGATGCAATATTAGTAAAGTTACACAAAATATTAGTGCAATTACATGTAATATTAGAAATCTCAAATAATATTAGTAATTTTACATGCAATATAAATAAATTTACAAGTAATATTAGTAAAGTATCATATATGAAATCTTGCAAAATTACCTCATATGACATCCTATCGGAAATCCAATTTCCTACGTGGGATCTTACGTGGTTTCTTATACAAATACCCATTATAAATCCCATAACCCACGTAAAAATCCACATGGGATCCTATGTGAAAGCACATATGAATTTAAGACACGATTTGAAGTGGGAATTCATGTAGGAATTTATTTTTGTGTATATATAGGCAGAAATTTACGTAAATTTATATGTAATGTAATCCCATGTAATTTCTTATATAGGAATCCGTATAAAATCTTACGTAACATCCCACTCTCTAAATTTGAATTAGTAGAATTCTACTAAGAAATAGTAAAATTTGACTAATTTTTAGTAGTTTTCATGGACGACTTTTCCCCTTTTCAATTAATAGAATATTACTAATTCTTAGTAAAATTTTACTAATGTTTTAGTAGAAATTCACTAATTAAAAGTCACTCATTTCACTAAATGAATTAGTAAAACTGTTTTATCGACTATTAATAAAACAGTTCTACTAATTGTTAGTAGTAATCTACTAATCAATTAGTAAAATTCACTATTTGTTAGTAATCTCCTATCTCCTATAATATTAACATATTCGTCGTCGTTTTGTCGTTCGTGTACTTCCGTATTTCATCGTTCGGTCGTTCGACTTTTATCATTTATTCATTATTCATAATATCGTATATACATATACTCATTGTACATACATAGACGCATGCGCTACTGCATGTTCTATGAATATCAGGCATGCGCAGCAGTGTTCTATCAGTATCAAGCATGCGCAGTAGTGTTCTATCACTATAACGCATGTGTAGTAGTGTTATATCAGTATCAAGCATGCGCAGTAGTGTTCTGTCAATGTCAGACATGCGCAGTAGTGTTCTGTCAATGTCAGACATGTGCAGTAGTGTTCTATCACTATAACGCATGTGTAGTAGTGTTATATCAGTATCAAGCATGCGCAGTAGTGTTCTGTCAATATCAGACATGCGCAGTAGTGTTCTGTCAATGTCAGACATGTGCAGTAGTGTTCTACCTATGTCAGGCATGCGCAGTAGTGTTCTATCACTATAACGCATGCGCAGTAGTGTTCTATCACTATAACGCATACGCAGTAGTGTTCTACTACTATAACGCATGCGCAGTAGTGTTCTATCACTATAAAGCATGCGATGTCAATGTTTTACAAAAATTTAAATAACTTCTAAAAACATGAATACTTTTAATGATCTTAAGTTTACTTTAAAGGTTATTTTCTACAGAATGGAAAGTACTTGTAGACATTACCGTGTAATTTTTTCTTAGAAATCGCAGGTCGGCAAAGTTATACACAAAAATTTCAATTTCAAATAATTTTTTTGTACAAAAAACTATCCTTCAAAAAATATGAAACATGATATGATGTAAATTTTTCAAGAAAATTTAGTAAAAAAATATGTTTGAATTTTAAAAATTATTTTTCTGTTAACCCGTTGCCTGTTAACGACCGTTGGGTAGTAAACTTCTTAGCGCAAAATAAATGAAATTTCTTATGTAAATTATAAAATAAATTGTTATATATCATTATTAACACACTATTGATTGCAATGATCCTAAATTAAGAGCGTTCGATGGTCTCTGAAATTTGTAGGTTATGTGCGACATACACTTTTCGCCCTACAAAAACGGTACTGCCTGGTTTAAATGACGTGAAATTGGAACCAATGACACAAATCTTCTTAATTACCTAAATCCAAAATATTTTCTTAATCCATGCAGAAACGCGGTTGCAAAATGGTAAATGCAAAAGCAACAAAAGTAATGTAATGACAGGCGGCAAGACGTTTGTTACAACCATTTGCCATTAGAGGGCAGAATCATGCAGGGAGCGTAAAGGCTCAGCTGTCAAAATGATTCGCATTACATTACTCCGGCCTTTCCCATTTTGTAATCGCGTTTCTTCAAGGATTAAAAAAATATCAAGGATTTAGGTAATTAAGAAGATTTGTGTCAATGGTTCGGATTCAGATTTTGCAAAAAGAGCTTGTGTGCAGAGAAAAACTCGTTCGAAAATGATTGTTTACCAATTTTACGTCATTTAAACCAAACAGTGCCGTATTTGTTAGGTGATAACTATTTGTCCAACATAATCTAGAAATTTCAGAGACCATCGAACACCCTTAAGTAATAAATAAATGATTATTTATTATTTTTAAATAATATAACAATTTAAAAACAAGTAAAATTCATGAAAATTTATTTTTAATTTAAGTCACATTTAGTGTATAAGGGTTTTTGGAGTCGGTGAATTTAATTAATTTTAAAAAATTCAAAATAGCGGACATCATTTTTAAAATTCATTTGGATTTTTATCAATTTTAGTATGACACCAGAATGTGCTGCGTGGAGGCTGCAAAGGTTTTACATTACACTTTCTGTTCTTTGTTTTTTTTGTTTATAATATCTGTTTAAAATTTAAAAATTTTGTCCGACATATTGGATCCACCATTTTGAATTTTTTTGACGTCATATTTATACTCAGCGACCCCAAAAACCCTTGTATACTAAGTTTCATAAAAATTCATCCACCAGATTTTGCTGAACATTTTGGGCCAATCATATGATTATTTTTCCAAACAGCGAAGGGGTTTATAAGATTGTTTCAAATTTTTTAAATTCTTTTGGTCTAAGTTTGCCAACCTGCATTTTCTAAGAAAAAAGTTTCGTATATTCGCATAATTCAAGTTATTTGAATCAAATAAATATATAGATAAAAAAATTATTTGAATGAGATAATTTTTTTAGTGTGCTAATACTTTTACGTATGCAAATGGAAGAACATTAATTTATTTATTATAAATTTGGTATAAGGACTACATAAATAATTATTTGACGCAATTAAAGAGATATTGGTCTAAATTAAAATAATTAATTACAAAAAATTATTGCATATTTGATATAAATAAGGGAAATTCCACGTCAACACGGACAGAG